ACCTTAATGATTCTATGATTCTATAAAATACTGGCATGTGAACCAGCGTGGCTGAGGTGGGTGCATCTGTTTCCTTTTCAGTAAGATTGCTGCATCAGTGGCATCCTTACAGCAAGTGTGTGAAGACAGCTGGTGGTAATGACTTCCCAAATGGCAGCAACTAGGTTTCTAGACTTCTTCTGTCCAAGCCTTAAGTGGACGTTGATGGGCTGGGTTAGTTATATTGAAATTAATTGCAAGCAACTAAGTCTCTTGTTTATTTTGTGCTTTTTTTCTCTGTTGAAATAAGGAATGTAATTTGTAACACTTGAGATACCTTTTAAGGTGTATTTAGACTAAAAAAACCACACTTGGAGTAATTCACTATTTTCATAGTATCATTCACTATTTTCATTTAATATTGTTTGAAATGTTAGTGGTTCTTCATTACCATCTGATGTATGTTAAAATAACACAACTTTTGTCTATGTGACAATTTGGAAATGCAGATCTAAGAACTGTTGACTCACCAGTATTTTGAGGTGGCATTCACAGTGAGTTGTAATTTTTCTACCACTTTGAAATGGAAGAAATCCTTATCGGGCTGAACTCACTGTAAGATACGTCACACCTATGCTTTCACTGAAGAGAACATACGGAATACAAACAATGTACTGTCTAGAGTGTTACAGGGCCAAGTGTAGGAGAACTTCATCTTTTCTGTTGATGCAGAAGGACTTCATTTGCTGAAATACCTCATGTCCTGTGCTTTGGTTCTGTTAGCAGGCAAAGTGCTTGATTTGAAGTTTTGGAAAGTCATTTAAAATTGAGGTCTAAGTGAAGATGGTAAAAAGGGTCACATAAGTGACTTTTTTTTGTTTTACTCCTGTGTGCATCAGAAAATTACATTAACCATTTTCCTGATATTTAGAATTCAAGTGCTAAAGAGCACTAATTCTAGACTGATCTCTTATTGCATCAGTTTTGACAAGCATGCAGTATTGAGGGCAACTAGGATGAATGTCGTGCACCTCTTTTTTCCAATTAAAGTTTAAATAAGGTCTGAGTATGACTACCAGTACAGAAGGAAAGCAGTAAAAGGAATACCTGAAACCCAACTTTTTTTAGCTGTTTATAGTTTCTTACTCTATTTTGCTTGTATTGTAGAGAACGGATCTGTTGGAATTAACATGCATTATTTCTTTGGTAAAGTATAAACAGAAAAATAAGAATAATATTTCAGTCAGATTTGGCAAAATCATATTGCCATTTATTGGTAGCTCCCTGGTTATGTATATATGTATTTTTCCTCTTAGAATTTTACAACTTTTAATTTATCAATACATGTCTCTTTTCAGAAAATAGGCGTGTTATTTTGCCAGGATGGGTTTACATTGTGATATTTGTGCGTCATCATTAACTGGAAAAAAAACGTAAATTCTCCTCCCCCTCTTTTTATAGGTGGTTTCAGACACCATCACAGGTTTTCTATCATGCAGCAACTGAACATGGAGGAAAAGATGTCTACCCAGGGCAGTGCTTATGGGAAGGATGTGAACCTTTCCAGCGGCAGAGGTTTTCCTTCATTACCCATTTACAGGTGCAGATTTTCTTTCACATATTACTTCAGAAAATAGTAGGAATTTCATGGTAAATTTTCACACACCTTTCTCACTGACTTTCTCTTTTCCCCAAACAGGATAAGCACTGTTCCAGAGATGCTTTGCTTGCAGGATTAAAGCAAGATGAAATTGGACAAGCAGGAAATCAGAAGCCTCCCAATAAGTAAGAGACCGGAGCCTCACTAGCAATAGAGAAAATAAAAGAATTAGAAATTATTGGAGGAATTTCTGTATTTATAACTTGGCTTATCACAGGAAACTCTGCACATGTAGAGTCTGTAACAGTGATCAAATTTGAGGTCCATTACTGTAAGGCAAAATGGGCAAAAGAGGGAATAGATTCTGATGTGGGAGATGTGGTTGCAGCTATCATAAAAAGAACACTTAATTCTTTAAGGTATATGGGTCAATACTCTGAACGTTGTTCTCTACATATTCTCCTGATTTTTCCTAACTGGACGGCATTTTATAGCTTTTATTGTAACAGGAAAGTGCTTGCAATCCAAATAGAAAGTTATTTGTTGTGTACAGTTCAGCTGTTTCATACAGCTGAGATGGATTTTCTTGTAACTTGCTCTATTTCTTCCAGTTTTGTCATCTAAATTTTGTGTGATTTGATCCAGGGACTCTTTAAACAAGCAAACAAGACAAATGACAACTCCTCTGAGTCTTCTAATTTTGTGCTGCTGCCTGGAATCAGCTTTGGCTCTCCTCTTTCCTGAAATGATTTCAACTATCTGGAATTAATATTGGAGAGTACAACCCCATTGCTGTGGGGTTGTGGGGATGGTTGTGTTAATATTGGAGTTATTCAGGGTTCAGTTACTTGTGTAATGTATTAAGACTAGGTCTTTGTTAGTAACTAACTGGAACCTCTTTGTTGCAAGGTAAAGATGTAATTATGTGGTCCCAGGCAGATATTTGTAGTCTGTTCTGTGGCTAGTTAAATACCTACCAAACTGCTGGAGGCAGCAGAGAAAGTTGAGTATGAAAGCTGAGAAATTTAATTTGGGAGTCGTTTTATTTTTTTAATATAAACGAACTTCGTAACACAGACTTATGAATGCTTTATGGTGCCTTGTTTTATTACACTGAACAACACTCAGACCTCTGAAAACCACAAAATGAAGAATGATTGTAATGTAGTCTTAAATACTTGGTAAGTGGGAAGCGTAGGGCTGATACCATCTACTAGCATGATGTAATCTCAAGTCTGCCTTTTCAGAAATGTTCCATCACACAGATAACATATCCAGTAGCTCTGTGGCCTCACAGGCTTCTTGAAAATTGGCACAGGTACTCATATTAGAAAAAATGTTCATACATTCCCTTTTTTAAGGCAGAATTCCCTAATTGGGTCAGATTCAGAAAGTAGGATTTTATATGCATAACCAGTCCTCGCTGAAATATTGAGACTGCAATATCACAAGATACTAAGGATATGGTTTCAGAATACAGATTGAAATAAGAGCATTGTACTACTCAAAGTAGGATGTTTTGATTCTCCCTGCCACCTCTTGTTCCTTCTCGTGGCTATGCACTGCTTACAGTGAGAGAACTGGCTTTAGTTTTTGTCTGATTCCATGGTAAATCAA